ATATATAGAAAGTATATGTCTTTGTATTCTTATAAATTATTAAATATGCAGGACCTAATTGGGGGTACATATGTACTTGCACGAATTTTGGGATCGTTGGTATGCTGATCTGTCCTAACTACGCTTGCGTAATTTATCGCTATCAAAATCTGAGATTCAGCAACAATCAGACATGAAGCTCATTATTTACTGTATTCTAAATCACAAATCAAAAACGTGGAGAAATATATCCCAAATATGTTGAAGCTCTAGAAATAAACCGTCATGGCACACGGCTACAGTCAGGCGGTAACACTTCAGTGCAACATGTGACAGAAGCTGGCACATTCTCAATTTTGCATATTGATTGGACATGAGATTCAATTTTTCACAAGTGCACTCTGAAAAGGGCTAGCGATCCATCACTTCTTAGAGACAAACTTGGTACATACTGTTCAGGAAGGCTGAATATTGAAAACTATTTTCACTTTATTTGGTGAGCATTAATACCATGTTTGGGACGCTCCACGCGACATCAAACACTCCATTCCCAGTTTGGCCATTGTTAAGACCCATTCAGGCGTGAGGAACTATAAGGTACATAAGAGCCATCGTCGTGGACTTCGCTGTTGCAGTGCGGGCGGTCTTTGTTAACTAAAGATCGGCGGTAGTTTGGCTCATCCTTTCCTGAGAATTCTGCAGATGAGCTTCAGGCCTGACCATACGTTCCGGTGACTACCATAATTGGTATTTTTGATTTGGCGGTCGCCCAGTGAAATTTTGAGCTTACATGCCACAACGGCAGCCTCGCATGAGTCACACCTTCACAACTACAAGACACAAGCTCACAAAATCACATAAATAAATAGTCATTCATTCCGGTGACTCTCTTCACTGGTATCAGAATTGCTATTTTTAGAAATAGAATTGGCGGTCGCAGATCGCTGGTAAAAAATATGACCAGTGTCCTTCAAGTGGCTACATCGCTGACCCAAAGGGATATCCGCCTGCGTTTACTTCCGTTTGTATGTAGTGGGAGCACTTGTAGATTCTGTAACAGTAGTTCCGAATGCTCGTGTGAACGTTTTCTACTTTCCGATTGGGGTCCTAAATCACGTTTGCCGCATTCTCCAAACATCGCTGACGCATCCTCCAAGCTAGCACCGGGTTGTAAGTTCTGTACAACTTCCAAGGCAGTTCGTGCTAACTCTAGTCGTAGCTCCCGGTCGTAATCAAACTCATCTCCCCTGTCGATCAAGCTCTGATATAAGAGTCTACAGTTCTTCTGATAGTCTAAAACTATAGCAATATGCCTGTCCCGATTTTCATGACCCCTCATGACCATGAACGCGAGCACTGTATTGGCAACGTCTAATCGGATCCTGTGCAGAACATCGAGCGAACTGGCTTTCAAATACATGTCACATATGCTGACTACGGGAAATGCATCGCCATTAACTTGCGTAGTACGGAGTAGTGTTAGAAATGCGTTGTCATGCAGAATGACATCTCGGCTGAGACTCGCTATGTTCGTTTCCGCAACGCAGCGCTCTTTTTTATCACACTCTGTAAACGGTGAAGTTTTACAGGCGACACTATCCGTAAAGGTCCCGTTGGAAATCACGTTATGGAAGTATGTTGGAGATGAAGACGAACAATTTTGGTTATCACAGGTGCGACCTTCGTCAGTAGAATGAAGTTCGATCATATTGGATTGAGTGTCGTTTGTCACTGATTTTTGTTTGCGAAGAAGTGTCTTATTGTTTTTTCTTGTTTGATATAAATTGATAATTCTTTGTGAGTTTGTGAGAATTTTAGTTTAAACGAGGAAGGCTGTGTATAACAATGACCCCCATCGTCTGAAGTTAGTAAGTCTTATGATCTGCATATACTTCAGTCAATTATTTTGCCCTCTCAATACGCCTATCCATCCTAAGATTCCAGAAAGTCACCAGATAAGTATCATGTATTTACTTTGAATCGAGTATCGACAAGCCAATCTTTTGATCAAAAATGTTATTTTGGATAAACTTTTCCCCTTGCGCGCGTGTCTGTGGATAGTGGAGTCCAGTGTGGGACTGTGGGCCAGTGTGGGGGCGTAAATTTTAAAACATTTTTTTAATAAACATTTTGTGTTTGCCCGTCAACATTCAACACTCATGACTCCGTGAGTCTGTGGCCTGCTCAAATATTTTAGAAATATCTTGTTTTCAATAATTATCTAAAATCCCCAATTTGTTAAGCCATAAATGATCAACAAATCGAGAATCAAAGTCTCAATAGCAGTAAATACCCGATTTTTTGTGCTGCCAGTTCCAAAAATAGGGTAAAAAAATTTAAATCACTAAACTAAAAAAATTGGAATGGATTTTTATTTTGTACTTTACGAATGTATTTAGATCATGGTTTAGTTTTACTTTTACAGTGGAATAATTGCTGTGAACAGTAAAAACAGCCAAATTTTAAAATGACCGCAGATAGACGAAATGGAGTAGAATCTGTGGTCGGATATCTGAGTGTATTAAAAATCAGAAACATCGCGCAAATTGACTGTGGTGACTGGTGCGTCTCAAACTCTCACTTGTTGCTGTGAGTGTGTACTGTGGTCAGTTGGTCACGGTATATTAGGTTGCATAGAAAAAAATCATACTGAAACCAAGAAGGCTATTTTAGAGAATTATTGTTTTAAATAAAAATTGATAAACATATTTTAACATAAAATATACACACAACAAAAGGAGTCTGCTCCTATAATGGGGAGGGGGCTGTTGAAATTTAAATTTTTTTGGGTATCACTATGTTTATACTTTTGTTTTTGAAAAATCCAATATGGTATCGCTTTTATTATTATAAATAAAATAGAGAGGTTCATCTCCATAATTCGTCCCTGAGAGACCAGGACTGGGACTGGAAGCATGGAATAGAGTATTTATACGACAACGCCGAAATTTGGACAAACGATATACCATACATGTGCGTGACGACATTTTGTAGGATATGTCGGTCGTGACTTGGTGTCCGCTGATGGCTGCATCTGAGCATCAGAGCATCAGTGCACATCAAATATAATAAAACTAGAAACGACATGTCATACACGTCGCCGACTCGCCGCGACATTTTTTTTCGTGCGTGTACGACTGTACGTCATACCACAAGTTTATACCAACCCATGAACCCTATCAAGACTCTCAGAGTCTCAACACGGACTCATCAGTCATCATCACTACACTCAAGCAAGTCTTCAGAGACCCAGTCACTCGAGTCAGAACTCTCAAGTCTCAATAAAGAAGTCTCAAGTCTGTAGAATGAGGAGTGAAGCCAGAGTAAAGGCTCAAGAGTCAAGAGATTATTTAAAGCCTGAAGTCTGAAGCAGTGAAGTCTCTAGTCCCAAATCAACTCAGAGGGAGTCGTACTCAAAACGTAATCTCCATTGGATGATGAACCAGGGTTTAAAGCAAACACTACTATGAATTTAACATCTGAGGCAAAACTTCAAAAGTGTTGTCCATGATGACCCACCTCTGGCGGTCTGGCCTCGTCGAAAAGTTATGTTAAGATATTTATATTTTTGTTTTACAAAAAACAATGCG